AAAAATTCTAGTTCACGATTCCGTCTGCACCCTCGACCGACTCGTCTAATTAATTCTGGTATCAAATCTCGCTATCTATGGAATTACTAGCCCTAGGTAACGCCACGGGCTGTTACCCGAATTTTCCTTATTTTTAATCTAACCGCGAGACGCTCTACGATTAAATCTGACCTCTTGAACAGTCTAGGAGACGCTTCCTAAATTTAATTCAATTAGACGCTTTACAAATTAGAAAAATAGGCTAGACTAAGTAGTGACGCGTTCGTTCACTTAAATAGGCCGTGTTATCCCCTGTAGTTACCATCTTCCGGATACCACTTGCGAATTAAACACATCAACAATTACGGATTGAAGGCCTAATTCAGGTGTAGATATGAAAAGCCTAATCTAGGTGATCAATCTAAATAAGACTCAACACATCATAGTTAATTATTCAAAATAACACAAACAATTCTAAAAAGATAACTCAATAATCAACCATGTAAATCAATCAAACATCATCAAGTCGTAGGGTTCGACATCCCTAGAACTAGAATAAAATCTAAGCTAACATAATAAATAAAAATAAAAAAGATAAAAGAGAGAGATTAATTATCTCCCTCGTGTGCGGTTGCGGTCTCCCTCCGCGATATCGGCTTCCTCGCGTATCTGTACTCTTCTCTGTTCTCTGAATTCTTTTTCCCTCTGGTCGGCTGCGTGGTTGGGCGTCTCTCCCTATGCGTGTATTTGGCGGCTCCGTTCTGTGTCTTCTGGCTGCGTGAGTAATATGCTTAGTCCAAGAATTAATTGTGCTTCTCAATTTTTTTGATCTCCAGCCGTGCCTTGCGTGGGCTTTACTTGTGAAGTCCAAATGCCCAAATAAACTCCAATAATTTAGGCTCTTTTGCATATATGGGCCGATTTTGAGCAGGTATGGGGCACTTTATACTGTCTGCCTTGCTCTTCCTTCGACGTCTCGTCGTCTATAAAAATAATCCAATATCCTAAAAATAAACCATAAATATATCATAGCATTTAAATTCATCTAATAAATAAATAAGTCGAAAAATATAAGCGTGCAAATAAATTAGATATATAAAAATACACCTTTAAATATATAAAACATGCACATTTTACGACCTATCAAAAAGGTAGGACCGACTACTCAAATCTGAACTCCGGTGACAACCTATTTTACGGGATAGAAGCCTGTCAAACCGGGGGCAAAACGAGTGCGGCCCCGCACAAGTGAAGCGCACAAGAAGAGGGTTAGTCCAAATGAAGCCCAAGTGAGGTTCCATCCCAAAACCAATTGGTGATGGGAGGAGTAGCCCACTAGACTTATAAATTAGGCTCATTTACCCTATCAAATCAATGTGGGACAACTCACAAGTGCTATTCCCAAAACGCCCCCTCACTTGTGAGCCCTTCATAGCCCACACCTCCAACTAGGAGGGGTACATTTTTCAGCCCACGCCTACAACCAGGCCGGGTAGTATTTTTTATTTATTTATTTTTTTTTTTATTTTTTTTTTTTCATAGCAGGTCCCAAATTAGGCCCGCTCTGATACCATGTCAAACCGGGGGCAAAACGAGTGCGGTCTCACACAAGTGAAGCGCACAAGAAGAGGGTTAGCTTAAATGAAGCACAAGTGAGGTTCCATCCCAAAACCAATTGGTGATGGGAGGAGTAGCCCACTAGACTTATAAACTAGGCTCATTTACCCTATCAAATCAATATGAGACAACTCACAAGTGCTATTCCCAACAAAGCCACTTGTCCGATTAAAATGGAAGTTTATGCTTACACCATTCACTGAAAGCGAGGTTTACACCGAAGGATAGTCTTTCCGTGTTCAGTTCCCAAAATTCCTTCCCACAAAACACTTGTAGACCCAGTCCTTAGTACACTCATTAACACCTCGATGGGATTTTTTTTATCCGTGGTTGCTCGTCCTTCGGACTCTAATGGGTATCTTATCTGGTCCATCTGTATAAGTGTACGAAGGTGGAAAGAAATACGCCATATTCAAGATTACGTCTCTGGGAGAAGGAGATTTCTAATTTTTTGTTATCTATGTATGTGTACATAACAATTTTATTTTTTTTTTTCAAAAATTTACATATATTTCATTTTGGTACCGCAAATAATTAAAAAATCCTAAATGTACATAGTTCGTTAATCACATTTCAAGTGTACATTTTTGGAAAAACAGTCATTTTTCATAGCGAGATAAAAAAATCGATTAACCCACCGCCACTCATGCATCTTCACGTGGGACCCACCTGCCACATACCTGCCACATGGATAAAATCCTTGCCTCAATCATGTCTAGTAAACGCATATTAAGGTGAGTTAAGGTCAATCTCCCATCCCATCCCTTCAAGTAAACGAGGACTTACCCAACGTACAGTAACCCGATTTGTAAAGTACTTAAGGATAACTAATAAATTAGTAAAAATATATATGGATCACATGAGGCGCACGATGCCAGCGGCGCAAATTAGCATTTTCAGTTGGTCCCTTTGTAACCAATTTCTTTTGTGTTCCTCCATGTTCGGGCAAACGGCCATCTTGCCAACTCAGATTCAACTGTGCCAAACAAAAAGAATGTCTTTTCCAGGAAAAATAAAAAAACTCACGTTTGGACATCATATTTAATGAATAAATTTTTTAATGAATTGATCATACCAAGAATAACAACATTTCATTTCAAATTCCTCTGTTGTAAATTTGTGATCTGTGCATGTGAGCTTTGTAACAATGGCGATAGCCGCAGTTGTGATTGTCCCGATCGGCCTCCTCTTCCTTCTGTCAGGCCTCGTTCTCAACCTCCTTCAGGTATATAAATGCCCGAAAAATCCATTTCCGATTGGCTTTTCGTTGGATCACTAAAGATCCAGAACGACACGAAAAAGTTTTTAGTTAAAACGATAATAAATATCGAAAGTGTGATTGAATGAAACATGAAAATGCTAAAAATAAAGACAGTTGATTTTGATTATCTTCTCGTGAAAATGGTGATTGATGTGATTGGTGATATGAAGAAAAGGAGAGTGAATCGCTCGTAAATACTACAATAGGTTCTTGAATTGTTTTCCCAATAAGAAAATTTTTATTCATTTCAGGCAATTTCGTTGGTCCTTGTTCGTCCATTTTCGAAAAATGCATACAGAAGGGTCAACAAAGAACTCGCCGAACTGATATGGTTGGAGCTTATTTGGCTGTTCGACTGGTGGGCTAACATTAAGGTGTTCTAAAAAAGTATTGTATTTGTTCTTCATCAATCTACATTTATTCATTTTTTTTCTTCTTCTGTCCGATTTTACTTGAGAGCCGAATGACTCAAAAAGTAGCACTATCGAGCACCAAGAATGTGTTCAATTTTCTCTTAATCTCTAATTATTATGTTTAATATGTCTGTGGCGGTGGACAGGTCGATCTATTTGCAGATCAAGAAACTTTTGAGATGCTCGGTGAGTTCATTTTGAGTGTCGAAATTACAGAGCACTTTTCTGTTTTTCACCAAGAAAGACTGTCCATTTTGTTGACTTTGTTTGTTATAATTTCAGGAAAAGAACACGCACTTCTCATTTGTAATCATAGAAGCGATATTGATTGGCTCGTCGGTTGGGTCCTAGCTCAGGTTCGTATTCGTTCATATAAATCCTTAAGACGGTTAATTAGATGCCTCTTTTTCTTCTGCAAAAGCAAGAAAAAAACAAGAATTTTAACTATATTGAAGTATCACTACTGTTTCGTGCATAATATCTTTATTCCTCTGTACCATGTTGGTTTTGAAATAGAATAGTTTCGATTTTTTAGAATGCATTTGCTAGCAAATATTGTCAACATTTTCTTTATTGTGCTCAAGAAGACTTCCTTACATCTCATTACCTTTGTGTGTGATGGATAATATTTCGAAAAAAAAAAACTAAATGTTCATCTCATTTTTTACAGCGTGCAGGTTGCCTCGGTAGTGCAGTAGCCTTAATAAAGAAAGCTGTGATATACCTTCCCGTGAGTTTCATAATCCCCGTTTCATATTACAAAAAATATGCATGAACAACATATATTAATGGAAAACTTAAAAAATCGAGCTGGCATTCTGTTATACACACAGGTTATAGGTTGGTCGATGTGGTTTGCCGGTTTTATATTTCTTGAGAGAAATTGGTCCAAAGATGAAGGCACCATGAAGGTGTGTGTGAACAATTCCACATTCTTTTTTATTTATTTATTTTTTCTTAAACCGTTTTGGACATCGGTTACTTTTATCCTCTTGATGTTGTCTTATATTTGCAGTTGGGATTCGAGTCACTGAGTGATTTTCCAATGCCTTTCTGGTTGGCCCTTTTTGTCGAAGGGACCCGTTTTACTCAAGAGAAGCTTGTAGCTGCCCAACAGTACGCAGCCTGCGCTGGTTTACCTATTCCAAGGAACGTTTTGATTCCTCGTACTAAGGTTAGAAGAACCGAATTCTCAATATTTAGATGGAGAAGGAAAATAAAATATCACAATTTAGCATTTGTGAGCTTCATGTTCTGCTTAAGTAGAGAACCGAGAAAGTAGGCGAAAGGTTGCTATTAAATTTCCGACATTCTCAAAAGGTTCAAAGGATAATTTTCTGAGCTCTGTGTACTTCATTTGTTTGTTCTCTTTGGGGGCTTTCAGGGCTTTGTTGCAGCCGTGACTCATTTACGGACGTTTGTCCCAGTAATTTATAATATTACGGTTGCTGTCCCGAAAAATGAACCTCGACCCACGCTACTGAGAATCCTGAGGGGACGTTCTTCTACGGTAATTACCACAAATATGCAAGCTAACATGCATATTCCCAATGTAACTGAACTCGTGTTGTAGGTACATGTGCATATTGAGCGACACTTAATGCAAGAATTACCAGAAACGAGCAGTGGGATCGCTCAGTGGTGCAACGATATGTTTGTCGCTAAGGTAATATAATTAATGGCACATATTTTTATTTTCCTTTTACGCAAAATGTAGCAGTTTGATTTTTCGATGAAGCAGGACGCTTTTTTGGAGAGACACCTTGACACAAACACGTTTGGGGATGATATACGGCGCGACATTGGCCGGCCAAAAAGATCATTGCTGGTATAAATGGATAATCAACTAAACTAGCTTTCATCTAGCATTTTTGTTTTTGTTTTTTTTTTTTTTTCCTTTTGTTTTAAATGGAATCTCTAAATGCATTTTATTCTTGACGGATAGGTCGTGATGTGCTGGTCGTGTTTGCTTCTTCTGGCGATCGTCAAATTCTTCGAAACATATCCCTTCTCGTGGGGAGAAGTTGCGTTCTGTGTGGTTTTCTTAGCGCTGGTTACTATCCTAATGCAGATACTCATTACATTTTCGCAGTCCGAATATTCTAATCCTCCGAAGCAAGATCAATTGAAGCAAGTTCTTCTTCACAGATGAGCTTGTTGTACACAACATTGATCTCATGCCATAATGTAACTGTTAGGAACTTGTTCTGAGGTTGCACCTTTTTTTTTTT